GTCTCTCCCCGAGCAGCGACTCTTGGAGCTGGGGCAGGTCCTGAGCTCAGACAGAGCCCAGCTGTGCCAGGGCTGTGCCAGGGCTGTGCCAGGGCTGTGCCAGGGCTGTGCCAGGGCTGTGCCCAGCTGTGCCAGGGCTGTGCAGGGATCTCCTGCCCTGGCAGCCACACCATGCCCTGCTCCCCGTTTATGCCCAGCCAGGGGGAGTTCTGAGCCCTGGCACCAAACCAAATCCCTTTAAACCCCTGCAGGTCTCAGCCTCTGGAAGTTTTGCCCACCCAGACCCGGAGCAGCGTTCAGCCCTGTGCCCGCGCCCGGGGCTGGCATGGAAGCAGCTTTGGCCGGGTCCTGCTGCTCCTCAGGAGGGGATTTCAGGGGGCACGGCCCAGGGGGGTGCCAGGGCAGCCGGGCAGGCAGGGAGGGGAGGGGGGTTCTGCGGGCACTCCTTACTTTGAGCAGCTTCATCAGCCCCTCCAGCTGCACCATCAGCTCCCTCCTGCTCTCCTGCAGGGCCGACATCCTCTGCTCCAGCTCATCCTTCCTCTGCCTGTGCCAGGGACAAGGGGGAGAGGAGAGTGAGCCCAGGNGGACCCTGTGCCAGGGACAAGGGGGAGAGGAGAGTGAGCCCAGGGTGCCCTGCCCTGCCCGGGGCTCCCTGTGCCAGGGACCCTGTGCCAGGGACCCCGGTGCCAGCGCTGTCCCGCTCCCGTGAAACCCCTGCAGCGAGGCTCAGCAGCACCAGCCTGGAGGAGACAATTCCCTGCTGCCCCCCGAGAAAAATCCACTTTTTGTGGCTCTGAGCAGCAGAACCCAGAGCTCAGGCAGGGCAGGAGGAGCTCTGGGAGAAAAATCCACTTTTTGTGGCTCTGAGCAGCAGAACCCAGAGTCCTGCAGAGCTCAGGCAGGGCAGGAGGAGCTCGGGGAGAAAAATCCACTTTTTGTGGCTCTGAGCAGCAGAACCCAGAGTCCTGCAGAGCTCAGGCAGGGCAGGAGGAGCTCGGGGAGAAAAATCCAATTTTTGTGGCTCTGAGCAGCAGAACCCAGAGTCCTGCAGAGCTCAGGCAGGGCAGGAGGAGCTCGGGGAGCAGAGAGAGGCAGAAGGGAGGGAAGGCTGCGGGTGTGGGGGACACTGCGAGCTCTGCTGAGTGACAGAGCAGCCAGGACACGGCCCCTGCAGCAGCTGCAGGAGCTGACAGCAGCAGCAGCAGTGCAGCAGTGACCTTCCCCTCCCCTCCCTCCCCTCCCTCCCCTCCCTGGCTGCACGAAGCATTCCTTTCGGGAGCGGGCACTGCCAGGCACCGCCGCAGCACCGTGGGAGGTTCGGGTTATCCCAAACCCGGGGGCTGAGACAGCCCAGCCCAGGATTCTGGTAGCCCGGCCCAGTAGCCCAGCCCAGTAGCCCAGCCCAGGATTCTGGTAGCCCAGCCTGGCAATCTGGTAGCCCTGATAGCCCAGTAGCCCAATCCGGTAGCCCAGTAGCCCAGGCTGGTAGCCCAGGCCTGCTAGCCTGCCCCAGCATCCTGGTAGCCCAGCCCAGTGTCTTGGTAGCCCAGTCCAGTAGCCCACCCCAGCATCCCGGTAGCCCATCCCAGCCCAGCCTGGTAGCCCGCCCCGGTATCCTGGTAGCCCATCCCAGTAGTCCATCCCAGCATCCCGGTAGCCCACCCCAGCATCCCAGTAGCCCAGCCCAGCATCCCAGTAGCCCATCCCAGTAGTCCATCCCAGTATCCCGGTAGCCCACCCCAGTATCCCAGTAGCCCAGCCCAGCATCCCAGTAGCCCATCCCAGCCCAGCCCGGTAGCCCACCCCAGCATCCCGGTAGCCCACCCCGGTAGCCCACCCCAGCATCCCGGTAGCCCATCCCAGCCCAGCCTGGTAGCCCGCCCCGGTATCCTAGTAGCCCACCCCAGCATCCCGGTAGCCCAGCCCAGCATCCCGGTAGCCCACCCTGGTAGCCCACCCCGGTATCCCGGTAGCCCACCCGGTAGCCCACCCGTGCGGCCGGGCCGCCCTCACCGCAGCAGGCGCAGCTCGGCCAGCAGGGTCGGGTTCTGCTGCGCCTTCTCGGGCGTGGGCTGCGAGGCCTGCTCATGCTCCAGGCGCAGCCGCTGGATCTCCTGCAGGATCTCCCTGCGGGGAGCAGAGCGGGCGGTGAGAGACCTGCACCCACAGGGAGCACTGCAGCTGGGCAGGAGCCGCTGCAGGAGCGACTGCAGATCTGCAGGGAGCACTGCAGCTGGGCAGGAGCTACTGCAGGAGTGACTGCAGCTGGGCAGGAGCTACTGCAGGAGTGACTGCAGCTGGGCAGGAGTCACTGCAGGAGTGACTGCAGCTGGGCAGGAGTCACTGCAGGAGCGACTGCAGATCTGCAGGGAGCACTGCAGCTGGGCAGGAGCTACTGCAGGAGTGACTGCAGCTGGGCAGGAGTCACTGCAGCTGTGCAGGAGTCACTGCAGCTGTGCAGGAGTCACTGCAGGAGTCACTGCAGCTGGGCAGGAGCCACTGCAGCTCTGCAGGAGTCACTGCAGCTGTGCAGGAGTCACTGCAGGAGTCACTGCAGGTGTGCAGGAGTCACTGCAGCTGTGCAGGAGTCACTGCAGGATTCACTGCAGGGGTCACTGCAGGATTCACTGCAGGGGTCACTGCAGCCGCCTTGCACCGATCAGCCGTGCTGTGGTTGCGTTGCGCTGGTGCAGTAAATGCGGCTCTGCGGTCAAACGCAGCTTTGGAGGATGGAACAGGAGCTCTCTCCGTGGGGGTTGATCAATAGTTAACATCAATAGTTAACATCAATAGTTAACATCAATAGTTAACATCAGACTTAATAGTTAACATCAATAGTTAACATCAGAGTTAACATCAATAGTTAACATCAGACTTAATAGTTAACATCAATAGTTAACATCAGAATTAATAGTTAACATCAATAGTTAACATCAATAGTTAACATCATAGTTAATAGTTAACATTCATAGTTAACATCAATAGTTAACATCATAGTTAATAGTTAACATTCATAGTTAACATCAATAGTTGACATCATAGTTAATAGTTAACATTCATAGTTAACATCAATAGTTAACATCATAGTTAATAGTTAACATTCATAGTTAACATCATAGTAACATAATGGTGAGCAGACAGAGGTCCTTGTTTTAAATGGAATTTATGCATAACCATGAGGTATGTATGAATATGCAAAAGGATCATCCCTTTGCTCACAAAACGTTTTTCGTGGCTTAAGTGCCCGAGAGCATCCGGACGTCCAGAATTCTTTGATTTGTATCGCCTTCGAATTGTCCTCACTCTGCATTTTTATCATCGAATTGTATTGCTATTTTAATGACCGTTTTATTAACGCCAAACTTTGAACATTCCTAAGAACCAGCGAGCAGCGTTTCGCACCCCAAGCTGCAGCAAGGTTTACCCAGCGAGACGTCGGGAAGCTCCGAGCCAAATCCCGGCGCTCCGGGCCGTGAACTTGGATTCTGTTTGAAGGGCCACGGGCAGGAGCCGCGCTGGGAACAAGCTTCACCCAAGGGTGCGCAGGGGGGTGGCACAGAGCCGCTGCCAGCGTGGCCTTGCTTTGGGTGAAAAAACCCCAAAAACTCGCAAAGCAAATGTTAATTTCTGGCACTGAGCTCTGTGCCTGCTGGCGGGGATGCCAGCTGCTGGCACCTCCCCATTGCCACGAGCAGGGAACGAGAGGGGGATGAGGAACAGCAGCTGGAGCTGGCAGCCGTGCCCGCTGGGGTGTGCCCAGCCCCGGCTGGCACCGCTCCCTGTGCTCTCCCCCTGCTCCCTGCTGCGCTTCCCGAGCTGGCACACGCAGTGCCACAGCTCTGTGCCACACCACTGCCACTCCTGCAGCCCTGCAGCTCCTCCTGGCACTGCCAGCCCCGCAGCAGGGCCCTGCTCCGCAGGGAGCCCTGGCACGGCCCCGGCAGGACAGGGATGTGGGCACTGCCAGGACAGGGAGCTGGGGAGAGCCCCAGGACAGGGATGTGGGCACTGCCAGGACAGGGATGTGGGCACTGCCAGGACAGGGAACTGGGGAGAGCCCCAGGACAGGGATGTGGGCACTGCCAGGACAGGGATGGGCACGGGGGCACCAGGAGAGCCTGGGGGGCTCCACAGGTGACCCTCTGGAACGACAAAAATCCTCTGGTTGGCGTTGGAAAGGACTTCAGAGCCCACCCAGTGCCACCTGCCACGGGCCCAGGCTGCTCCCAGTGCCATCCAGCCTGGCCTGGGGCTCTGCCGGGGATCCAGGGTGGGCACCCTGTGCCAGGGCTGCCCACCCTGCCAGGGAACAATTCCCAATTCCCAATCTCCCAGCCAGCCCTGCCCTCTGGCACTGGGAGCCATTCCCTGGCTCCTGTCCCTCCATCCTTGTCCCCAGTCCCTCTGCAGCTCTCCTGGAGCCCCTCCAGGCCCTGCCAGGGGCTCTGAGCTCTGCCTGGATCCTTCTCCTCTCCAGGTGAGCCCCCCCAGCTCTGCCTGGATCCTT